CTGCCTGTCGCCTGCTCGCTCCCGCCGCCCCGGCCGCTGAGGCGCCGCCGCCCGCTCACCCGAGGCGGCGCGGAAGTGCAGGGGCGCGAGGGAAGTCGCCGCACCCCGCAACGCGCGGCTCACGTGGGCGCCCGCGCCCCGGAATCCGTGTTTCACGTGTCAGACAATGCGTGCCGCCGCCTTTCTCCAGGAAGCCGCATTCGAATAGCAGGGCAGGTTCGTGGGTTGCGCTTGAAGAGGTGATGAGAGGTCAACTGATTCCGTAGGCAGTTTACCTCAGGCAGAATTCGGTCCGCGATTATCACGTGGCGGGCAATCTCAGTGGAGATGGTGATTACTCATCTTCGTGGATTGTAGTTGATGAGGTCAGGAGAGGGTAGTTGCTTGCGGAGAAGTACCCAAACCAACGGGGCACGGACCGCGCATCTCTCCTTCCTCTTTCCTGACGTACACACTCTTATATGCTCCACACTTTGACAAGTGGTTATTGAATGTGATTTTTGCTGAAAGGATGAGATTAACATATGTTAGTAGTTACATTGTGATGATCCCATCTCTGGATTCCCATTGGAGGGGTCTTAGAAAATTCTAAACATTCGGAAGAAGTCTAATATATTCGCATCTCATTCAGTGTATCATGTAGAAGATGTCCTCAGATAGATCTCATCCGTTTTCTACTCTACATTCTTAATCCCCCCATTATCGATCCCATTCTCTCAATCACCTCTTAAATTATTTTTTATTAACAATGATAAACGTCTAAATTACCACCATCTTTTTAGATACACTAGTAACTATGAAATCAATCATTCACCCTTTGCTTGGGAACTCACTGATGATAAGCTGGCAAAACATTTACAAGTGAATAATGTTCGAAGGCTAATAATGTTTATACTTATACTTTATGTTTATACTTTTTTGGAATACAGACTAAGAGCTTAATTAATATTTATTTCTTAAAAAATGGGGAGAAATTTTACCGTCGAGGAATTACAATCCTCGCAAATTATGTTTTCTTTGTGAGAGAAACAAATCATGGTAATGGATCTCTCCAGACATGTGGAATCAATAATTTTGTGCATTGTCCACTAACATGTGAATATCTCTACATGTGAAACATTAACATATGAAGCAGTAAAATTATATCTTGTTAATATGTACTATTAATCATTTTTAAGAAATATCAACTGTAAAGAACATCAAAATGTCTCAACACAATTACTCAGCTAACGTTATTTCATATGGAATCGATATATTTTCTTATCGTGTAATTTTCCTGAAATAATTTCTCGCGTAAACGCTTTATCATCGTATCACAACGCATTATCAAATCGTCGAATAACCGACAAATTTTATTATTTTATTTCCTTATAGTAAATATCTAAATTACAGAACAAGTTAGCGCAGGCGTGTGAGAGCTCTCTCTCTCGTAAAAACCTGACCCTTCATCCTCTTTCCTACTTTCGATTGAAGTTAGAAATATGTTAGTGAAAACCCGTTGAAATATAATTCAAGATTCTGCACAGTTCACCATAACCACAGGGTAGGGTTACCTAGAAGCGCCAAACATCCTGAAATGTAATATATCTTAAAAGATCTCATTTTTTGATAATGGGCTAATGAGTTTAATTTGTAGGTCAGCGATCTCAAAAACAACGTTTAAAGGCCCCATATCCAAACATATTTTATTTCCCTGAGTTTGATGTGAAGGAGCAGTGAAGCTGAACGTGGGTTGCGAGATAGCAGTTGCTTATTCTTTATTTTATGTGGAGATATGTGGTTCCTTGAGGAATACGATAAAGAAGGCGAGTTCCCGCGTAAAACAGCGACCTGTCCGCGACAATGAAGAATAGAATGCCCACAGAACAAAAGATAAACCTCGGAATATTGCAGTTGCGTGTGTGTAAATTTAGACGTGTGTTTTTGTACGTTTATTTAAGTTAGCTATTCACCTGCTGTGATCATAGCGATCATATAGCGATCACTGCAATTTAACATTTTTTTATAACTTTGGGAAAAAGGTAGCGGAACACGCATACGGACACACACAAACATCTATGCCCGGGGTGGAATTCAAATCCGCAACCATTTAATCCAAAGCAGCCTCGTCCCTTCAGCCAGAGCGACGTCGACGTGTATTATTTATTGTTTATAAAGTAAAAGATCAATTTGTACCTATCCATGTAATTTTTCCTATCCGTGTAATGTCAGTGTTGAAGTCATAATGATTTCCAAGAGATGTAACGCATTTTAAAAGACTGACTAGATATCGGCAGATAATTCCATTTTTTTTAAATTTTATTTTGAAAAAGAATCATTTGTAAATCATTTGTATCACTTTCTATTTCAAATGTTCACTATGTTTATCATCGGAACTTTGCAAATAATGAACTAGCAATTTCACATTTGTTTTCGCCTGAACACGCGCACTCGTGAACGACTTGCTTTGTATAGGATTGGCAATCCTGCGATTGCGGATATCAACTCTGCCAACTGCGTCCTTCTCCCGCGAGGCGGTTGGCGGAGCGCGAGAGTTACGTACCGCTCCCATTTCACCAGGGCCTCGAGGATTCATAACGAATTGCCATGTCGTAATGATTCCGCCTTCCGATGCGAGTAGCGCTGCAGTGCAAGTGCGAGGGAGAAAGTGACAGCGAGGGCAGAGCGGGAAAAGCTGCCCGCGGTCGTCGCCGCCGCCGCCGAATCGCTATCTCCGCCGCTCTTGCCGCACATCCTTGAAGTCAACGCTCATTTCTACCGAAGTCGCCGCCAACGTCATTCTCAAAGAAGAAGCCGTCCCTGCCGCCAGCAGTGACATCTCCATCGCGCGCCCCTCACTATTCCGTCGACTACAGATCGGTGACTGTCAATGCACGAATTGTATGAAAATTAGGCTTCGTTTTCGACTCTCACTTCGACTGTTTTCTATCCCCTTTCAGCTCTTCTCTATCGTACTTTAGCTCATTTCTATCCTACATCGACTCTTGTCTTCGATATCGACCCCGACATCCGACATCGACTCTTGTCACTCGAAATCAACTGATCTAACCAACATTGATGCGAAATTAGGAAGTTTGTGCACCCTGGAACGTTAAAGTATTATCGATTGCGCATGCGCTATGCACTAAAATGGTGAGAAACTTGAACTGCGCATGCGCAGAAAGTCGATAGTACCGTCCGTTATGACGTGCACTCACTCCCTATTATCTGCGACATCAGTTACTACGACATGTACGCAGAATTTTGCTTTCCGCCCAGATGATACAAGGTAGGATCCAGTTTGCTTACGCATCTGACTTACTCGTGCTATGTTTACATTTTGGGTATCATTTTTGGAAATGACCCCAAAGAGTAATTACCAAAGCGAGTGCACAGAGAGTAACCTCCGCCATTTCAGTTTCCTTCTCTACTGTTGCCACCACCGACCCACAGTTCCCATCGCTGCCTCATAGCCCCCGCCCCGCGCCCCGCGTGCGCTGTCCTTTCTCCCTAGGCGCCTCGCTGCTCGCCGCTGCCCAGCAGGCGACCGCTGCGCGTGGCCCGTCGCGCCGTATGCGCTTGCGGGCGGCGCTACTGCTCTTCGCTCCGGTTTACTTTTCTAGCAAGCCACCGTTGCCATTCGCTCTCTTCTTTCAAAGCACGTTGCATTAGCACCAGAATAACGATGCATGGGGAAATGTCACTGTTTGTCTTGACTCATAAACACTACTATTTTTAGTACTCACTTTTCTATATTATTTTGACCATTTGAAAGTGATTTAGCATTAGCATTTAGTGATTTAGCAAATACCGCTTGTATTTTCTTCTAAATAAAAAGTCGAGTATTATTTCAACATGTATCCCCGCTAGAACTCCGAATACAAGGAATAACAATGACGGCTGGTGGTATTATTCTACTAGATACATTTGGCTTCCGAGAGCATAGACGTCCGCGTCCGCAGTCACTGTCTGCCTGACAGTCGCCGCGTTATAGGCACAGGTGCCCACCGACCCTTCTCAGGGCGAAATGCGCCGAGATGGACTTCGTACGAGTTTATACAGAGCAAGGTTCCCCAGATGAATGGAACGTGTTATTTTGTTCTGATTTTCTGAAAATCAGTTTTCAACATGTAAGATTTAATGATAGTAATGTTAGTAATGTTCCATGAATAATAATAGTAATAATTCCATGATATTAATGGCGAGTCTCAGGCCATAGGGACTTCTCTTCCGCCTAACCACTGAATTTACATACATATAGAGTACATTTTAAGAGGGGATGGCAAAATGTACATTTACGTCTGGGAGAACAAATCTAGGGACCATCCTGGCATACGTCTTAAGCGATTGAGTAAACCCAGAAAACCTCAATCAGGATGGCGGCTTAGGGCCGAACATGATCGATTTTTGGAGAAAAGTGGAAGAGAAGAATAAATAAGAGAAAGGAAACATAAATGGAAATGAAGAGTAAAAACAGGAAGAGAAAGAAGAGACCGACAAGCTGTACATTTAAGTCAGGGAGTGCAAGGTAAACGACCATCCCGTCGTAAGCTCTAAGCGATTTTGTAAACCCAGATACAAACTCAATCAGAATGGCAACGTAGGGCCGAACATTAATAGAACTGAGTATGTTATACATAGAAGTGAAAGAGAAGCTTAGTGAAAAAGAAAAGAAAATCCGTAAAAAAGTGTAGACGAAGAAAAGACGTAGTGAAAAAGTAACGGTGACTACCTGCTGGCTAGCTAGAAGCGCCAAGGGACGATGCTTACACCGCGACGGTCATGGACAGAATCAATGAATAAACCTGAGCAACGGATATTAGTATTATGTATGGATTTTGCCGGGCTTCAAGTTCCTTAAGGCAGTTCACACATATCCCTTTCCGCCCCTACGATTGACTTGCGCGCACATTGCGCTTCGTCTGTTGGGCCGCTGCTCCGGAGGGGCCTTTCGGGCGGCAGGTGCCCTTGCCGGGCCAAGGTCACCCGGCGCAGGAGGCGCGTCTGGCGCGACCTCAACGCCCAGCACCCGCGTGGCGCACCCAGCCTCCCAGTAGCTGCTATTCTCAGACGACTCGTGCTGCCACTCGCCTGGGCCATGGCCATCGCCTCTGGACAGAGGGTGGACACGTTCATTAGAGGGGGGTAGTATGCTTAACGCCGACGCGCGTTAGGGAATGTATTTGCACGTCTGCAGCTGAGGCCTGTAGACCTAAGGGGTTCCAGAAAGTCTTAGAAGGTCCAGATTACATCCGCAGCAGCGAAGGTTATATTAGATTGGGTGTTGTCACTACAAGCAAGAAAATTCTTGAGGCCGGCAGCTCTGCTCGAACAGATACCAGAGCAGTGTCTTTAACAGTCGGTTTACACCAACCGTTACCTGAAGAACACCAATAGGGGTTCAACGAAGAAGGGAAGAATATATAGCAATATAATTGAAAAACATTCTATACTTTATGACTAATATTACCAGTGTTTAACAATATATTACAATCACTTTCTTCTTCTTTGTGTTAAAATATTGCCTCTATTTGAGGTATAGCAAGGGCAAATATTTTTAGACTTTTTAGTGTATTTGCAGTTCTTTTCTCAGACCCACCAATAACCACGTCCTTTTTCAAGAGGGATATTCAATATTCAGTGTGTTGCTACGATTACACAACTGCTTTCGACGTACGAGTGTACGACGTACGACCTGATGGGTCAGTCCTTGATGTAGGGTCACAGTGGAGTTTTCGGGTGAAGATTCTTGTGGCATAAATCATAAGATATGCAGAAAGGACACCTATAATGAAGACTCAATTGTGTAACTGTATTTATAACGAACTGAAATGAGTGAAATGTTCATGAAGAGATACATAATATGTCTCTGAATTTCTGTTATATGAAGAATTCAGCAACTCTGCAATGTCTGAATTTGACCGAGCATTCTACCCTGCCACAAGCGGAACTTCAATCCTTGAACATCCCGATCAGAGAGATTGCAGTGACATCAATTGATG